GGCTCTGGAAGAAAGCAATCGGCATGATCTAAATTCAAATGGAGGTGTACTGAAGCAGAATTTCCTCGGGTACCAGAATTAACGTCACATCCAGAAGGAAGGTGAGGCTCCTGGAGCCATATTCTGGGGTCTCAAAATCACAGATGCTCAGAGCCCCAGGAGTGGCTCCTGCATCCCTCAATATCCAGACTCCCTCCCAGTCAACATTCACACTAAGGACCCACTAAGAGTGATGCCCAGACTCTGAAAACGTAAAGATGAGTATAGCACTGAAGACGCCGGCTAGGAGGAAGGGTAGTGGAAAAAAAGAGAATTGCATACTGGGCAGAAGGAGCAAAGAGCAAACATTAAGAAGCAGGAAAATAGAAGGTTTCTCCAGGTGTTCAATGAGGTGCTCACCTGAGTGAAGACAGAAATTATAAGCTAAGGGAAAATGCCCGTGAAAGACCCCGAGCCATGATCGGGAGTCTGGAGAGAATCCAGGAGGCAATGGGGAGAGTTGTCAGCCCTCCAAGCCAGAAGAGGGCATTCTTCGCTCATTCACTCATTCAACAAACGGTTCTCCTGCCTCCTCTAGAGATGCAAGGCTGAACAGAAGAGAACCCCTTCCTTCCTTCCGGACGCTGGTACTCACTTGTGAAGACAGGTGATTAGGAAAAAAACAAGAAAAGTAAAGCGGGTGTGAAGAAAAGACAGTACAAGGAGTTTGGACACGTGTGGCACAGGAAGCCAACCTCGTTAAGGGTGAGGGGCCGGCGTGCTCAGCTGGGACCCAAAGGTCGATGCGAAGACTCACTGCTTTGAGCGTGAAGGACGGGCAGCTGGGAAGGGTCACTGAGATGCTAGAGGAAGAAAGGTGGATTGGAGAAGAAATGAAGGAAGTAGGGCTTAGGAACTCGGGGGTCAAAGTACCAGCAACAACACCCGCCCTGAGTAGTATCCATAACCAACAGTCACTTGGCCTCTGACAAACAGCTCTGAGCATGGGGATCTCATCACTTCCCCAGAGGGTGGACTCCAATACCTGGCAAATCTAATTCTTACAGCAAGAGTTCCTTCTTATATGAAGACCATGCCTGCTTCCCCATAACGTTTATGCATTGATCCTGGATCCACACTCAGGAGCAAATCACAGAAAGCCCTTTCCCTCTTCTGGACATATTTCCCATTAACTGGGGAAGATCCTGGTCATTTCCAACTCATTCACATCAAATGCTAAGAACAGAAAAGTTCTAGAATGTTAGGGCTCCAAGAGCCCCCATAGGTGACCTTCAGTTTTATGTCATTTCATGCAACAAGACACAAAGGCCTAGAAAGAGCGGTGATCATACCCCCAATCACCCAGCTACTCTGGCTCAGCTGATCTGGGAGCCTGAGACCACCCCCCCACCACCACAATCTAGTGTGCTCTCAGTGTATCTTGCTGCTGCATGTAATCTAACTCCAAAACTTTGTGCTGAGGGCATCTGTATCTCCGGGGGAGCCACTGAAATTAAACAGGGTTGAAAAATAAACAAACTCACATAAAGTATAAATAGCATTTCCATGAAAACAGGCAGCAACTCTGTCCCTTATTTATGGCTCCCCCTGCCTTGAAACAGAAAATTCACGGGTGTCGATAAATGGATTGCAAAGTTGTTATGTTTAACTACAGAGAAAAGCATGTCTCCACGGGGTCTTTTGGAAATGCACAGATGTCCACTGGCAACTGGCAGGGGCTGCAAGGAGGTACCCTTTGTGTCCCAGTAAACACTCTGCCTTTTCTAGAATCTCTGGATCTCTGGCTCAGGATAGGTCAGGCAGGTCATCCTGTGCCCTCACCCCTGACGCTGAGCTCCACCCCCCCACCGCCACACTGCACTTCTGTTTACACACCTCTCATGTTAGGTGTTTCATTACGTCTCAGGGCAGCTCATTCCAGCCCTGGACAGAGTGATCCTTTACTATGATGAGCTTGACAGCTGGCTCCCTGCCACATTCCTCCATAGATTTGGGGGCCATCTCTCTTTCAGGTGACAGCCCCTGGACTGCTTGCTGAAGCTGATCATATACATTTGCAGCTTCTGCTTCTCCAAGGTAAATAGCCCCAATTCCTTCCACTATTTCGTAGGTAACAAGGTTTGAATTGGCACTGTCATTCACCATGATTCTCCTAAATGTGCTGACTTGTCTCAACTGTTCTTCAAGTGTGGCATCCAGAAATAAATGCTGTGGTCCAGCTATGGACTAAAGGATACCCTATAAAAGACACCCATCACCTTTGTCATTCCAGTGAGAATATCTGTTAATGTACTCACATCAGCCCCTGTTTAATGCCATTTGTGATTTGATTCCAAGGGGAGGATTTATGATTAAGCATCATGTTGATAAATAAGGCACCTACACCCAGTCGGTGCAGGTCACCTCAGAATATTATTCCCTCAATCCTCCCCATTTCCCGTCGTCTATCTGCCAGTCTAATGAAATCATTCAAAGTCTAGGATCAAGGTCACTCCATCCACCAGGGCTGGTCCAGATAGCGTGATGGTGGAAAGCAGACTTCCAGCTGGTATCAACCTATCACTAAGCACAGACAATTATGAATTCTCCATACTGCAGATCAACTCCCAGTCTCCTTTTTTTGGAAACTCCACCACTTACCTTTGGGGGCCACCCCTCCTCCATTCTGACTCCACATGTTTTAAGGAACTCCTCTCTACCCTATGACCAAAAATAGGCACAGGGCACAGGGCTGGCCTCACAGCCTCCTCCAACTGCAGTGATTAGTCTCTGGACTACATGTGAGCAGGGCCAATTCAATCCAAAGCAGTATTGCAGAATTAGGGGGAGAAAGAACTCTTTCTACAGGCACTGGTGATGGTAAGTAGTAAGCTAAAGCTTCCTCTGTGTAGATAAAACTGCCCTGAAAGAAACCACGGCAGAGAAAAGTAGAGCAAAGGGAAGGAGGGAGATTGAGCTACAAAAATATCATTTGAGCCCCTGGATCCAGCCTTTCCTGATGCCTGTACTACCTTCGAACTTACTGGTTTTGTTAGCCCCCAAATTCCCTTGTTGCCAAAATCATTTGGGGCTGGGTTTCCATAAATGAGTGTAGATCAAAATTCTGCTCACAGCCATCCAGAAAGGTCATGTGACACCATGTCAAAGCTCTCGCCAAAGCCTGCTACCTCACTGAAGTCCCAATCTACAACATCGTATTGTAGTTAGAAAGTCCAGCTCTTGAGTCCAATAACCCAGGTCCATCCTGACCGGCTCTGGGCCTTGGACAGATCACTGCAGGACTTCTGCCTCACCGTCCTCATCTGGACCTACTACATGGGATTACCACTGAGAAAGAGTCAATGCATGCAAAGCCCTTACAACCACACCTGGCCCGCAGAAATGCCTAAAACACAATCATCCTCGTTGTTGTTGTTATTATTCTCACACTATTAGTATCACTACCCGTCCAGTTACACTGGCAGTCAATGTTTTCCTGTACTAGCCCTGGACCGGCACCGGGTGCTCTCAACCTTCTTTTACAAGGCTCTTCCATCGTCCCTGGCACAATGCTTCCTTCAGTCTCTCCTAGGATCAATGGCAACTCACCTTCCTCTCTCTGATCTCTTTGCCAAAACGTACTCATCCACTGCCATGTCATAATTTACTCCATTTAGCTGCTCAGATGGAAGCTCCTCTACTCCAGGGATGTATGGGACAGGGAAGTGACGGGGTGTGGTCCTGGGCCCTTCCCTGCTATGCAGACATATGGTGCTACCTCGATCATATGCAGCTGAGCAAACCTCAGAAAGTGAGGTGGACCTCCTAATTAAAAGGCAGCCCTGAGCTGTCAATAAAATTATGCATAAAGGAAATGTTTAAAAACACCATAGTGACACTCTCTCTTTCTAAAACTGAAAATGTTTGAAAAAAAGGGGGACGGGGGTTGAGTGTCAACTCTTGCTCTTGATTTCGGCTCAGGTCACGGTCTCGGGGTCGTGGGGTCGAGCCCCACGTCAGGGTCCACGCTCAGCATGGAGCCTGCTTGTCCCTCTCCCTCCCCTTTGGCCCCTCCCCTCTCTCTCTCTCTCTCTCAAGATGAATCAATAAAATCTTCAAAGAGAATTAAAACACAGGAGTGACTCCCTTGAGACAGATTTTCACTTGAGATGTTTTTGACTTCAATTGTGGGGGCAAATAAAAAGAGAGTGTCCTCCTCGACGCGGCCATTCCTTCTTCCCTCCCTGAAGCTCAGAAAACCATCTCTGATCCGCAAAACACTGCACTGCCTTTGAAACTGCTGGCTGGAAGAACGGCGAGTCTCGTCTTCTCTACCGATTTCTGCAAAGTGACAGGGACCAGCATTTGTTTTTATTTGTTTGGGGAGGGCAGCTCTTCTGTTGCATCCGTCTCTTGGGCCAGTCAGTGTGACTGATCATCTTTCACACCAGGCCCGGCCTGACAGCTCCAACCACCGTCTCCCGCGGCGCCCTAGGCTCACCTCGCCATCACACGCGTGCTGCTTCCACGGCACGTCCACGTCTGCCGCCGCTGCCTTCCCAGCACCGGGCTCGGCAGAGGCGCTTGACAAGAGCGGTAGCAACGGTAACAACAAAATGTTCAGTGTGTGAGCAAACGAACAGACCAAAGAATGAAAGAAACATGTGGCTCCATGAACAGCGAAGGAATCCCTCCAGGGCCCAAACCTTTCGCCCCTTATCGACACCGGGATCGACGTGCAAAGCTGGGATTTGACATGTGCGACCCCTCCACTGTATGCAGGTGCACCTCATTTTGCTTTTGTTTGCATTTTGTCCTCCTCACTACGGACTCCCTCCCACTACCTGTGTAAACCTGGCATGTCTCGGCCCGGGCCCACACGCACATGCTGCAATATCCTCCCGTTCCACACAGTGACAAGTTGGGATCAGAAGACCCGGAGGGGCTTCCGAGGACTCCGGGACAGCCAGTGTCCTTTTGCTTCCCTCCTCCCTCTCCCTGTGCGGAAGCCACCTTCTTACCTTCAAAGCTCCCGGCGAACAGGTAAAGCCAGGTGATGGCTGGGATGCAGAGAACGGTCAGCGAGGCAGCCAGGAATTTCCGTCTCCCTCTGCAGATTCCCAGCATCCTCTCAGAAGTGGCAACCCCTAATCCCAGCGCCGCTTCTCTGCCCGGAGCACGGGGTCCTCGGCCTCCCTCATAATACTTTCTGAAAGGAAGAGCAAAGAGGAAGGGCTGAGTTCCCAGCGCTGTAAAAGGATGCAATTTGCAGAGGGGGGGGGTATCCCGGAGATCCTGAAAGTATCTGGCTCCTCGACGACTTCCTGCTGACCTTCTAGCCCAAGACACAATGCTGCAGTCTTACATCTATCAAAACTGAGACAGCTCTTTTAAAAGTAAATAAAGGATGATGGAAACTATGACATCGCTCCCTCCCTCCTTCCCTCTCTCTCTTTCTCGCACGTGCACACACACACACGTGTGTGTGCAAGTATTTTATAGTACAGATTAGTTTGAAGCCTGAACACACTTACTAAAAATGCATTTAGTTAGCCCCTTGTATGTACCAAGCACTAACTAGGTGCCCTGTTTTCAAAAATGCCAGGAACACGGGTTAGTTTCCAAGAACACAGTCTAACAAGAGAGACCGACTTAAAACATCCACGGGCACTCCAAAACTGTGATGACTGAGAAGTGCACGCATGGACCTCTCTGGAAAGACCAAGGAAGTTGCTGACTGATCCCTGGGCGGTCAAAATGGCAGAACAGTTCCTGAGTTCGAGCCAGAGAGAGCCGTGGAAGGCGCCGGGGGCTGCCTCCTGGCACACTCGGAGGAGAGAAGGCTGGGTCAGCCAATGTCATCTGCAGGGAACCACATCCCGATCACAGCTGATAACCTACAAACACTCACCAGGGACTGTCTTAATAGCTTCCACCTTTAATATGGAAGATGTCCAGAAAAGCATGGAAACGATTAAAACGTGCAGAAGATGGAGAGGAACACAGATAACCTGTCACCAGCCTGCAGAGAGTCAATCCTGAGGCCAGGCGGAAGACTTGCTGAGACGTGTTCAAAGCAGAGGGAGAAGGTCAATGCACATGGAGTAGAGGCCCAGGATCCTTCACCTGGGGATCTGACCGGCAGGTCATGTGCCTTATAAAGGAATTTAAAAACCAACAGCCCTGCAATCTCATCTCCACCTATCTCCTCACATCGAGCTCACACTGACTGCAGGTGGAGCGAGGAGCCTCCCAAACGGAGCAGAACCTACCCCTGCAGGCAGCTATACAAGGCTTGTCATCCCCAAAGAAATTGCTGGTTTGGGTGTCCCTTTGGGTATTCCCATAATATGTCCTTCCCTCTGCCATAACCCTTAAACCCCATGGGACTATGGCCTGGTTGAACCATCTGTCCTCCCCACCAGCCTTGGGGTTTCCGGGAGACAGACATCCTGTCCGCTCACCTTGCATTCCCTAAGACTGGGCATACCGTCTGTCACCTGTAGGCTGGCTGATAGCTGTCGGCTGAACAAATAAATGGGATCAGATTCTAACCAAAGGCAGCCCTCCCAAGCTTCAGGAGTCTGTGTTCAGCAAGTTGCTGGCAATAAACACCTAATGGAGCCAATCTCAATTGTCAACGCCAGGTTTGCTTCTGCACCCAACTCTGACATGATTTTCTAAATGGCCCTCCTTTGAAACAGATGAATGATCCCAGGGCTGGAGGGTGTGGGCTAGCAAGGAAAACCAAACAAGCAAAATCGCTTTAAACAAGGAATGTTGACTGGAGGAAAGTCCCCCGCGGGAAGTGTTTCATTCTGAAGCATGGGCAACAGACCCTCCACACACACTGTGTCACCAAGAATGAGGATCGCCCCACCACTGGCCAAATCTCGCAGGAAGAACAGGGGACAGGAGGCTATGCAGTTAGATCTGGATTCAAATCCAGTTCCGCATGTGACTAGCTATGACATTGGCAAGCCCCCTGTCGCTGGGTAAGCTTCATTTTGTTCATCTCAAGCAATGGCCTCTCTGTCAGAGAGTCTTAAACGAGAGAGCCCTTGAGTAAGTGCTGAGCAAAGGAACATGTGACAGGGCGAGCCCCACCTCTTCCCGAGAGCTGAACGAGGAGCAGCACTCAGGCTTTTCCAGAAAACAGATCCCAACAAGTATGTTCGGCTGACACCACCAAATGGGTGATCTCAACCTGAACATCCTACTCGAATCTCCTTTAGGAGATACCACCACATTAAAATGGCCCTTTGTGGGTTGTTTGTTTGTTTGTTTTCAGTTCACTTACAATAATAGTAGCAAAGACAACTAGCAGTAATAACCTGTGAAGTAGGAACCAGTTTCCATCCCCATTTAATGGATGAGAAACTGAGGCCTAAAAAGACCAACTGGCCAAAGGTTATACCAGCAACACCTCAGGCTCTCCTCTCCCTAAGGAACTGATTCTAACAACCTTTGCCAGGGGTCATTTTCCCTCTGATCTAACCTAAATCCTTCATATTGAATCTTAGGATTTTTCTTCCCAGAGTTCAATATATCACCACTGTTTGCTCTCATTAAAAAAAAAAAAAAGTTCAATAGAACAAAAACTGGAAAGCTCTTGGTGAATTTGGACTTCAGGGGACGACAGTAGGACTATATATGGAGCTGAACTCAAGTGGTGTTAATATTTAAAAGCATTTTTAAAAAACTCTTTAAGACACTTATTTTCCTCTTTTCCTCACTCCATCTGCAAAAGTTAATTTCAACTGGCACAATTTGTCCAAAGTTTTAAAACAGAGTCTAGAGTGGTTTGCATTTTATGATAACACTGGCATCTAAAATTAAACCCAGCAGGTAAAAATTATTCCCTCATGGATTTGACTTTTAAATGACACCTCTGTGCACTAAAAACACATTTTAAAGAAAAATCTCAATTTATATCAGAAGTTACTCTAGGAAGTCAATACAGGAATCAACACAAGAAGGAAGGAAGGAAAAAACCGAAGGCGGGCTGAAAATTACCTCCCACATGTGTAAACATTGATGGATTAACTGGAAAATTAGTCTGGAACCTGCTTTTGCCTGGTCAGAGGGAGACAGACTCCTGGGGCAAAGAGTCACCTTTAAAATGCCCCTGCCTCGAACCCAACACCCAATTCTCCTTGGCCAAGATGGTCAATTCTCCCACTAAACATCTACTACTCCATCTGTCTTCTCCCATCTGTCTTAACCAATGAAATTCACATTTATGCAAAACATTGCATGAGCCAGAAAAAGTATCGTGATCTATTAAAGCCATAAAAGCAGCATTCAGAGCTGAGAGTAAATAAAATGTGATTACAAGTATCCTTCAGTCCAATGTAACACATTGTATACACATGTACAAATACCTATAAAACTATACATATGAAAAAAGGTATAAAGGTTATAGGTTATCTCTGGGTATAGGATATGGATAATTTAAATATATATGAATATGTATTTTTCCCAAATTTTATACAAAAAATAGTGTGGCTTTTATAATTTAAAACTTGAATCACCATGTCTTCTTGTTATATTGCACATGATTCAAAATACCTCAGCGCGAACAGTGAAGAATACATGAGTTAGTTTTACTTTACATGCAAGGTGCAGTGAGTTAAGATCTGTAGGATCCTTGGGGAGCCTGGGTGGCTCAGTTGTTAAGCGTCTGCCTTCGGCTCAGGTCATGGTCCCAGGGTCCTGGGATCGAGCCTGGCATTGGGCTCCCTGCTCAGTGGGAAGCCTGCTTCTCCCTCTCCCTCTCCCCCTGCTTGTGTTCCCTCTGACTGTGTCTTTCTCTGTCAAATAAATAAATAAAATCTTAAAAAAAAAAAAAATCTGTAGGATCCTCATTGGGAATACACCCTCCAGGGGTGGCTGGCTACCATTTGAAAGTCTCTAGTCAGAAGCTCACATTCCAAATGCTGATCTGATCAACACTGGAGATTGTCTTTTTTTTTTTTTTTAAGTAGGCTCCACAGCCAACATGGGGCTTGAACTCATAACCCCGAGATCAAGAGTTGTAAGCTCTACCAACTGAGCCAGCCAGGTGCCCCTGGAGGTTGTCTTTTAACTAGCATCATTAGAAATGAGTTTTCATGGGTGTTCAAGATGTATGAGTTGTCTAGAAATACTGCACATGAAGAGGGAATAAAAGTCTAAGTAATCTCCAAAAAGAAACAAATAAACAAAACGTCTAAGGAACCCAATGGCCAAAATCCTTCAGTTGCACTTAGGAGCCAAACTGATCCTATGGGCAGGCAACAGAGTTGGGTCACCGACTATAACTTTAAGATCAGGTGAATCCTGTCAGTTCCATGTTGTCATCTGAGTCTCAAGTGAACCTTTCTTAGGGGTCCTACAGCAGACGGACCCTCCATAGATGTCAGCTTTGTTTTATCATTATTTGTACTACTGCACCCCTTGCCTATACCCAAGCCTTTCCCACACAGCCCTACTATCCAGCCATGCCTTTCCTCCTCTCCTGCACCTCCAGAGGAATTTCAAGTCCTTGCTGCCTCTGCAGAACATCTCCCGACAAGTCCAGACCTAGAGGTGCTTCCTCCCTTTGTTCTAAATTCCAAAGGCTGTCAGCAGCACATTCCTGATCATATCACTGTCTTCTAATCATTTCCCAGCATTAATTTCTCTTGACTACACCAAAACTCCGTAAGGGCCAAGGATCCAGGTCCTCTCGTGTTGGTCTTCAGCCTCTGCCTGAGACCAGCAGCTAAGACCACAGTTTATACTTAGCCATCTCCATCCAAAGTGTGGTCCCTGAAACACCAGCAGCAGCAGCTCATATCTTGCCAGAAATGCAGGCTGTCAGGTACCCCCCACCCCCACGGATCAAAATCTGCACTTTAACAAGCGCACACCACTGTTTCAGAGCCCTGTACTACTAAAGCTTGGAGTAACTAACCGGTTGTTGTCTCCCACCACTCCTACTGACCCCCTCCCTCACCTCACCCCTGCAGGGACTGGCCAGGGCACTAGGGAGAACCAGCACAACCTGGACTTTGTTGGTTATCTATTTATTACAACAGTTCTCTGATAGATGGAAGGAGAGTTCCTAGAAGGAAAAGTGCCTCTTTCTAATTAAACAGAAGCACCTTATGGACTCGCAGTGGCTCTAATGGCCCATCCTGACCTCCCATCAAAAACACTGCTTAACCATTTGAATGATTGGA